AAAAAAAAAAAAAAATATATATATATAGCTTCCTTGATTATAAAATACAACGGCCCCGAATAAAGCGGATTAAATATAAATTAGCAGATTGGACTTAATTGAGAGATTTGATCGGTCAAATTCGTTATTGAGCCTGTTTGGTAAATAACTTATTTGATAAACTTTTTGGGCTCAAAACTCTAATTAAAAAAAACTCATTAGAACAGCGTTTTAAGGATAGAGTGATTCACAAAAATCATTTATTTTGAACTTTTTAATTTGTATTATTTATTTTACGATCTACATTGATTTATGGTGCTAATAAATAATAATATGTCATCCATATGATTAATATATCTAGAAAAATGTAAAATTCATAACTTTTTCATCAAATGTTTGTAAAATTTTTTTAAAAAAAATATATTTTTATATATATTTTTTTTAAAAAAAATATATTTATAAATTACCAACTAAGAATATTAAATATTTTAATATATTAATATTAAAAGAATACACCTTAAATAATAAAATGTCTTTATTGGTCATTTTACAATGTCAAACAACTATAAGCTTTCAGCTATTTATCAAACATTTATTTAAAAACTGCTAATGCAATCCGCTGGTCAAATCAGCTAATATAATCCGCGCTGATACAATCTGCTATCCGTTGATCCCCAAACAAGGCCAATACATACAAAACAGAGCAGTAATAGAGTTCCTAAATACCAAAAGACTTCCAAATATATATATAGATAATAGAGAAATGAAACAAGTATATTAAAAAAAAAAAAGGGAGCAGTATATCGACAAAAATTGAAGAAAAAAAAGAGACAAACTACCACGTCTTCTTCCTTTCTTCTCTGTGAAAAAAAAATGGAAAGCATCAATCCGGTCATCCACCTCCAGGCAATAACCTTCTCCGGCCAAATCGCTGCAACTGGTTGCACCATCTCCAGTTAGAGTAGCGACCAAATCGTCCGTCCATGGATTATCTCGTTCAGCAGCTGGCGTTCTCCATGAAAACTGGCTAGCCCCCGTCGCGGCATCTAGAAGTTGTGATGCGAATGAGGGTCGACGACTTAAGAACGCGTATAAATGTGCTTGTATAAAGGAGGGTCGGAACGGAGAAGTTCCAGTCGTCGCGCAGCGATGGTCGACCTGTTGGGAAAAATACGCTGAAATTTCCATGAAGTCGGATCTATAAAAGTGAAAAAAATAAAAATAAAAATTGACACACCAATTTGATAACGGAGTTCGGCAAATAATGCCTACGTCTCCGGACTACTGCAGAAATTTTATTGGGAAAAAGAAATCACTCGTGTTTACAAAACACTCGCAAACTCACTCACAACTCGCAACACAAATACACACAGAAGCTAAAACTGCTCCCTCTCTTTTTTCTCTCTTTCTCTCTTTTGTTTTATTGTATTTGGTTGTGTGTTTGCCATCAGAATCCCCCTCAATTTATAGAGGGGGAAGTGCACATTGTCTTCAACAGAGGTGTGCTATATTTTTCAACAAAATTGTGTTGCCGTGTTGCATTTGTTCTTCCTTGTGATGCTGTCAATTTTTTATTCTTTTCTCACTTTTGTTGCTTGTCAAAGAGAATGGGCTGCTACCCATTGTTGACTCAACAATCTCCCACTTGAGGACTAATTTTAATCTGTCCTTACACCTCAATTACTGCAGTAGTCTTCTCCGGTCTGTTATCCTAGCAGGCCAACTGAAGTTGAGCACAACTTCAGTTTGTCAATGGTCACCACCTTCGTTAGCATATCTGCTGGGTTCTTGCTTCCTACGATCTTGTTCAAAGTCAACACTTCATCCTCAAGAAGAGATCTGATGAAATGATATCGTATGTCAATGTGCTTAGTTCTGGAGTGAAACAATGAGTTCTTTGCCACATGTATTGCACTCTGACTGTCACTGTGCAAGACACTCTTTTTTTGAGTGAAACCCAATTCTGCTAACAATCCTTGAAGTCATATCAATTCTTTACTGCCTTCTGTCACTGCTACATACTCAGCCTCTATAGTGGATAGAGCAACAATCTTTTGTATCCGCGACATCCAACTAACAGCTGTAGCCCCGACAGTGAAAACATTACCGGTGGTGCTTCTTCGGTGATCAACTTCACCTCCGAAGTCTGCATCTACGTAGCCCTGTAACTTTAGATCTCCTTTTCTAAAATACAGACACTTTTCTGTTGTGCCCCGTAGATATCTCAAAATCCATTTGACTGCTTCCCAGTGAGCTTTTCCTGGTTTTGACATAAACCTGCTCACAACTCCCACTGCATGGCCAATATCTGGCCTCGTATAGACCATTGCGTACATCAAACTTCCAATGACTGAAGCATAAAGAATCTTAGCCATAAACTCTTCTTCTTCCTTTGTTTGAGGAGACTGATCCTTAGATAAACGAAAATGGCTGGCCAAAGGTGTACTGACTGGTTTGGCCTTGTCCATGTTAAATCTCTGCAAAACACGGTTGATGTACTCTGCCTGAGATAACTGCAAAACTCCCTTTTTCTTATCTCTCGTGATTTGCATTCCAAGAATCCTCTTTGCTGACCTAAGTCCTTCATGTCAAATTCATTTGACAACTGCATCTTTAAATTTCTGATGTCTTTCATATCTGATCCCGCTACTAACATGTCATCGACATAAAGTAGCAATATGATATAGCTGGACTCATATTTCTTGAAGAAACAACAGTGATCAGCATTGCACTTCTAGAATCCTTCCTTGTGCATGAAGCTCTCAAACTTCCTATACCATTGTATTGGAGCTTGTTTCAGACCGTACAAGCTCTTCTTCAATCTGACACCATATCCTTCTTTCCGTCTGAAAAACCTTCAGGCTGGTACATATAGATCTCCTCGTCCAGGTCTCCGTGAAGAAATGCAGTCTTCACGTCTAACTGCTCTAGATAGAGCTCTTCACTAGCCACGATACTTAACACAGTCCTGATAGTATTGAGCTTTACAACTGGAGCAAAGATTTCAGTATAGTCAACTCCTTCTTTTTACTGAAATCCTTTGACAACCAGTCGGGCTTTGTATCTCCTGGAACCATTATGGTCTTCCTTCACCCGATACACCCATTTGTTGTGAAGTGCTTTCTTTCCCATGGGTAACTTGACTAGTTCCCATGTCTGATTTGAGATCAAGGACTTCATCTCGTCCTTCATGGTAAGCTCCCACTTGCTGGCATCTAGGGTTTGACAAGCCTCCCGATAATCTTCAGGTTCTCCTCCATCTGTCAACAACATGTAGTCCATGTATCTCCTGTTAGGCACATGGGGCCGAGAGGACCTTCTCAATACAGGAGTTGGAGTAGAAGGTTCTGATTGCACTTCACTTTCTTCATTTGATTCCTCTGACTGAGGACTCCTCATTATAGGAATGTCTGGGATATCTTCCACCTCTGCATAAACTGGCCCACTCGCTTCTGAGTTGCTGGCACTTTTGTTATGCCGGTCCTTGTACATCACTCTTTCATTAAAGATGACATCTCTACTGCGGAACATCTTTTTGCTTTCATCATCCCATAAGCGGTAGCCAAACTCATCTTCACCATAACCAAGGAAAGTACATTTCTTTGATTTTGGATCAAGGAAACTTCTGGCTATTTCGGTCAATGTTCGATTCATACGCTCAGCTACACTATTGTGTTGAGGCGTACCAGGCACGGTTCTCTCCATTCTGATCCCGTGCTCATAGCAAAACTTCTTGAATCTGGTGGTTATGTATTCACCACCATTGTCGGATCTGAGCTTCTTGATCTTCAAGCCTGTCTCATTTTCCACCATAGCTTTCCAAATCTCTAAAGCTTCAAATACTTCCGACTTATGTTTCAGAAAGTAAACCCATACCTTTCTGGAGTGATCATCGATAAAAGTCACGAAATACTGCTTCCCACCAGCGGATGGGACAGTCGGTTGACCCCAAACATCAGAGTGGACGAGCTCAAGCTTCTCCTTCTTTGGGGTTCTTCTACTTGTCTGAAACTGACTCTCTTCTACTTTCCAAGTATACAGCCTTCACACATGTCAATTTCTATTGACTGGAGGCCTGGTAATTTTCCTTTTGAGTGAATGATCTTCATCCCTTTTTCACTCATATGCCCAAGTCTTTGGTGCCATAGATTGGGACTTTCATTTGTTGCAACTGTAATCAGATGACATGCTCCTTTGGTCTTGTAAAGATTACCACTCTTTTTGCCTCGAGCAATTGTCATCGCACCCTTTGAAATCTTACAATCATCACCATGGAAGATTGTTGTGTAGCCTTCACTGGCTAGCTGGCCTATGGAGATTAAATTCTTCGTCAGGTTGGGAATATGTATGACATTTTTCAATTCCCAAACAGACCCGTTCAACTTGATTTTTACTGCACCTTTGTCGATAACCTCACATGATTGCTCATTACCAAGGTAAACTTTACCAAGATTTCCAAGAATATAATTCTCGAATAGTTCCTTCTGTGAGGTAGCATGAAAGGATGCTCCAGAGTCTAACACCCAAGACTCTTCTCTGTTCTCCAAAGAACATATCAGCGAATCTCCTCCAGAGGCTGAAGCAATATTTGCTTCTTCTTTTATCTCCTGACCCTTCGGTGCACTCTTGCACTGATTTCTGTAGTGCCCGGTCTTCCCACAATTCCAGCACTCGATCGACATCGAGTTTTGGGAATTACGATGATTTCTAGACCTGGATCTTCTTCCCTTTGATTTGATATGTCTGTTTTCTTTGGTTGAACTTCTTCCTCTCGACTCTGTATGCAATACAGAAGAGGTTGATGGTTCACCCGACTCCCTCCGCCGGATCTCTTCACTGAG